TACCATAATTCCCTTTTTACCTTTAAAAAGAATTGGCTGTGATCATTAACCATTTATAACCAAATCCATTTAAATGAAAACAAACATTTATAAACAATATTTGGGAATTTGGGCGTCGTTCTTTCCAAACTACTTCCTGCTGACAGGGGGCGCTGTCATGGGGGATCCTGAGAAGATGGCAGTAGTCTGCATGGCTGCCTTGTTCAAGCTGTTTTGAATGTTGGATCATCAGCAACTCTGTTTCAGGGGGCCTGGCTTGATCAAACCACATTAGTCTGGAAGGAATCCACAGCTTTTTATTTTCTGTGGAAACAAAAATAGAAATCCTTTTCCCCAGTAACTTGTCCTTGAACTTAAATATTGGAGTCAAAGCATTTTTAAAATATGTAAATTGAATTAATCCAGCAGTATTTCCTTTATCAGTTGTTGTTATTTTCTCAGCAGTCAAACAATGTAGAGACAACGCAATAGCATACAGTAACCAGATTCTTTCTGAGCTTTTCATCTTTATGTGGCTTTATTACTCTGTTTATTTTACTTTTAGTTTTTCATTTTTTGACATAGGGTTTCATTGTGTAACTCTTATCTGTCCTGGAATTTACTCTGCATACCAGGTTTACTTTGAAAATCACAGAGATCTGCTTGCCTCTGTCTCCTGAGTGCTGGGATTAAAGGCATGTGCCACCACACCCAGTTCCTCTTTGTCTCTTTAAAACCATTTTTTTTTTCATGTCTACGTATATTTTAAAACACACTGTAAACCTTTAGAGGTTTTTCTTAATATGAATCTGTCTTTACTGTAAATCTTTATCTTCGTCTGGCCACAAGTCCTTTATCTGGTAAACAACAACATTGCTAAAATGAAAGTCATAGCTGTGTCAGCCGCGGTTTACCAAAGATGGTGGTGGGTACTTTTACCGCCAGCACGGAAAGCTGTGCTAAATGCCTTGGTCTGCGCTGCCACCCAGAAAGCATGCTGCCGGCTTGTAGATGTGGTCACTGCCATTGCCATCTCTCATACACACCAATAAATTGTTAGCAGAGTTATTTAAAAGCTGTGCGGTTTTTTTGCCGCTTATGCTGAGTCAGGAATCTCCCCTTAAAAGAAGCCGCGCAAATATCTGCTTGTCTCTCGCAAAACAGAGTCCAACCGAGAAAAATGCTGTTACCAAGAAACCTTGCTTGTCTCTGTTCTTTTGTTTCTAAAACCCTTTTTTAACCTTTTGTTAAATTTTAAGTGGAAGTTCTTACTAGCCACGTGGGCGCCATTTGTAAGAGTATGGTTTTTCCGCCTGCCGCCGCTGGTCTTGACCCGCCGCCACGCCTCCATTCGGAGACCAGTGGGCGTGGTCAGTGCTACAGAAGGACTATCTCACTACAGTTAGTACATGTAGTTTAGCTTTTGTTATGCTTTGGATCAACTCATTGTGGCACATGTGCTGTGTGAGTTCTCTGCCACTGAGCTATATCTCTAAAGTGACTTGTTTTAGATCCAGCAGAGAATTGAGGTCACAAGGCAAACCACCATTCCAAAACTGACTAGAAACTGCTAAATACAGGGTATCAGAGCTTACCATAGGAAGAGCTGCTGGAGCCAGTAACTACTAGTAAGGAAGAATACTCAAACTGTAATTGATGAGTTGCTAGAGGTGGAGTATGAACAATCTTAAGAATCAGAACTCCTGGGACACAATATGAAGGGGCTACTCCACCTTTGTGAGTTTTACTTTCAAAAGCCTTGGTGGGTTTTCAAGAAGGTGAGAGAAAAATCCCTTTGTGCTTTGGGCAAGAAAAAGAATCTTTTGAAAATATGCTCATTGGATTTTGTCCTCTGCAATTAATGTGTGCTTCAAGAGAAAAACTACTCTTTCCTAGTCTTATCTGACCTGGGGGATGGGTACTCAGCTGTTTCTAACCCTCCACCCCACTCACAGCCTTTTTGTCTCACATATGGAGAAAGATTTGGACAAAGCTAATTCGTTTTAAAGGTTGCAGCCCAGGGACTTTGGCCCAGCATACAGCAGAGACAAAATCAGTTCATATAGCAATGCCCTCCACATTACCTGCATTATATCCACTGAGCTCCAGTATATCAACAGTGAATTATAGCCACTCACAATCTCGTTTAGAAGTTTCCAGGGAAACCTGAAAACAAGGACACTAGAGGAAATGGACATCCACAGTTCCAGCAAACATTCAAGGTAATTAACTCCCAGGCAGTTAAAAGCTTATACTGAAGGCCTGTTCACCTCAGTTCCTTGTTTCTCAGTTACTGTGTCTGACTTTCAACAGAAAAACTACAAGGCATACCAAGAGAGGACAGACTTTGTCTGAAGAGACAAAGCAGGCATCAGAACCAAGGAATTTTGGAATTTTTTCATTGACTATTTAAAATAACTATGGTTATTATGCCGAGATCCCCAGTGGGGGGAAAATGTGGACAGCATGAAAGAACCAGTGACTAATATAAGCAGGGGACAGTAAAGCTAACAAGCAAAGTTGAAGATGTACTACTACAAAGTTCCAAACTGAAATGAAGTGGAAACACACCTCCCCAAAATGATGGAGATGGTGAAAGAGGAACTTAGAAACTTACAGCATGAAGTATGCATCAGAAGGGGAGGAAGATCTAAAATTGATATCCTAAATTCCCACTTTAAGAAATTAGAGAAGGAGAAGTAAGAGATAGCTCAGGCAGTAAGGGTTTCCAATGCAGGCATGAGGACTTGAATTTTTGCTGCAGAATCCATGTGAAAATAGTTTCTGGGTAGGACTACTAGTTGTGTCCTTCCTTTGGAAGCTTCAATAGTTTCGCTGTATTTCATCATTCCACTGACGCCCTCCTCCCCCAGCTTTTCCTGTATTCTCCCAACTACTTCCTCTTGAATTCAGGATAGCTTCTAGAATTATTTTTGGTGTGTGTGTATGTATGTGTGTGTATGTGTACATGTGTTTATATACACACAAGCTACTGTATCCAATTAATGTCATTCTTATTTACATGTGTTTAGGGCTGACCACTTAGGATTGGGGTCTCATTTTTAAAATAAAACAGTAGTACCAGGGAGAATAAAATCTGATTCTCCCTCTTTCAGCAGCCTTTGATTGTAGCCTCATCACCTAGGGGTGGGGCCTTGTTGAAATTTTCCTCCATTCACATAAGTATGTCTAATGGTGTGTTCTTTGCAGGTCTTAGCAGGCAGCCTGAGAGTTGATGAGAACAACAGCCCTGTCCTGTCAAAAAGACAATATCATGCAATAGTTGACCATGTCCTCAGGTTTTTTGCACTCATTCAGTCTCCCTCTTTCTTCCTTGATGTTCCCTGAGCCTTAGGTGTAGGGTTTGTGTTATAGATGTCCCATTTGGTGGGAAGCAGTCCACATTCACTTACTTACTCTTAGTCTGCATTTTGACCACTGTGGGTCTCTCTAATAACCTTAAAAACTGCAGTTCTGGTTCCTACCTACTAAATCATCAGGTGAACACACCAAAGTAAAAAAGTCTACAAAAGGTATATGATTGGCACTCAAAACATTTCAGATTTTGGAACATACAGATTTTTGGTTTTTTAATTGGTAAAGTTTATGGAGATATTCAAAGTCTGAAACAATTTTATTCAAACCTTTTGTATAAGTGGTATTCAACTTATGCACCAAATCTGTGAGAATGCAAGGGAATAAAACTCTTAAGCACTTTTGTAGAGATGTTACTAAAAGTTAAATTTACATATGTTTAGCTACCAAGAGATGCCAGTGTTTGTTAATTGCCATAGGGGAACCCTTTTGTATGCACAACAATGTTCACTGAAGTGGTATCTGTAAAAGTGAACAGAAAAGAAGTTTTAGACAGTCTGTGTAGCCCAGGCTAGCCTCAGACTCCTATGTAGTTGAAGCTGGCCTTGTACTCCTTTTGCCTCCACTTCCCAAGTGCTGGCATTACAGGCAAGAGTCACCATACCCAGCAAAAGTGAAGACTTTCAAATATTCATTAGCAAAGCAGATAAGTTGCTTATACAATACAGAATTATTTTTGTGCTCGATATGAATGTTCCTGCTTATAGATAATCTCATGAATCTGATGTAGAGGGAAAGATAAAAGTTACATTTTAACATTATTAGTGAAGATTAAAAAAAATAGTCACTATTCATTGTATTGTCCAGTGTGGTAATGCATGCCATTAGTCCTAGCACTCAGGAGGCAGAGACAGGTGTACTCTGTGAGTTCAAAACTACCCTGGTCTGTATATGGAGTTCTAGGGTAGCTAGAACTAAACAGTAAGATCCTGTCTCCAAAATAAAAAAAACAAAAATCACAAACATATGACTGTGGTGATAGTTCAGCACGTAAAGGTGTCTATTGCTAGTCTTGATGAAAAAAAAAAAAAGGTAGAAAAAAGAAAAGAAGCAGTTATAACACCAGGTGTGGCGATTCACACTAATTTCATTATTCCCAAGGCTGAAATAAGATACCACCATGAGTTAAATCCAAAGTTCCCACATGGTAAAAAGACACGCAGGAAATACATCAGGATATATATAAGTTTTTGGTTGCCTTAAAATTATTTTCTTCTGGCTATTGTTGTTTTGTTTATTTTTGACTGGGCCTCCTGTAGCCAGTGCTTGGCTCAACTTGCTACAGAATTGAGAATGACCTTCAGCTTTTGGTTTTCCTGCCTGCACCTTCTGAGTATTGTACTTTTCATTTTAGGTTTGTTTGTTTGTGTTTGAGGCAGAGTCTCAATTTGTAGCCTTATTGTCCTAAACTCACTGTATAGTTCAGGCTGGCCATCTCTTATTTCAGCCTTGGGAATATTGAAATTATTGTGAACCACCACATCTGGTGTTATAATTTTCTTTTTTCTGTCTTTTTTTTTTTCTTCTTCTTCTTCTTCTTCTTCTTTTTGAAACAAATTTGTTGTTTCAGTCAGGATCAAATGTCTTGTGAGGAGTGATTTTAGTTTCTTTAGTCATGTTTTAGTTTCAACTTTCCTTTGTTACAGGTTAGAGCCTTCTGAGAGCCTTGAGGAAAACCAGAGGAACCTGCTTCAAATGACAGAGAAGTTCTTCCATGCCATCATCAGTTCCTCCTCAGAGTTCCCTTCCCAGCTTCGAAGCGTCTGCCATTGCTTGTACCAGGTATGCTGAAGGTTCCAGATTGCCACTCAATCCAAAACAAACTAAGAGGTGTAGTGTACTCTGTGCAGAGTCAGCTGGATACATTATCTGGATACATAATATCATGTGGGGATGGAGAGATAGCTCAGTAGTTAAGAGCACTGGCTGCTCTTGCAGAGGATCCAGATTTGGTTCTCAGAAACCACATGATGGCTCACAACTGTCAATAACTCCAGTTGCAAGGGGTCTGTCCAGTGCTCTCTTTTGACTTCCTCAGACACCAGAAATGCATGCTGTACATATACATATAACTTGTACATTTTAAAGAACTATTGTTAGGTTGGCTTTGAAAGAAACATTTTCTTCAGAGTCATTTAAAGAACTTTAAGGAAGATAAATTAGTCTTCCTTGTGTTGAAAGTGTTAATCCCAGTGGTTGATAATAATACCACAACCACAATTTTGAGCCAAATTTGAAGCAAGTTTTAATTAAATGATAGTCAGGTTGATGAACTCTGGAAATGGCCATGAGTTACATTTTTGCCAAAACGTATAAAGGCATACCCATAAGACCACTATCTTTACTGTCCGGTCCAATCAGGGGCAAGCATATATCCTGATGTATTTCCTGCTGATGGACCCACATGTGATCAAGCACATCTGCTGCAGATGGGCCAAACAAACAGGATAGACAAGAACTTATTCTTAACTGTCCTAATTGCAAACAGAACCCTTAAACTGCATGGTATACCATTCCTGCTTTGGTCTCCCATTAACTTGTAAGGTGTTACTGTTCTTGTTCTTGTTTCGGTCTCACAGAAAGCAGCTTAAAAGTTAGTGACTGTATTGAAAAGAGATTTTGCTTGTCTTTTGCCTAAATTACTTACAAGATTTTTCACACTTGAGGCAATGTCGTCGTTTTTTGTTTTGTTTTGCATTGTAAATGGCTTGATCTGTAATTTTGATTTCTGTTTTAAGAGATCATTGGTTTGTATCCTGTTTTCACAGGGTAAACTAATCGTGCTGTGTATTTTGTGTAGAAGGCTACTTGTAAGATATATTCCAGCATCATCCAGTAGCTAACAGACTTTCTAATGCAGCCAGAGCAAGTAGTGCCCTGAGTTCACAAGTCCACAGTGATTCCTTCCATGCTAAGAAAGGCCTGTATTCTTCTATAGCTTCTGTTTTTGACTTCATATGTAGTTTTAAGAATAATTATTCCAAGAGAGAGCCATAAATCTATATTAACCTTTCAAAAAGGAAAAAAAAATACCATAGGACCTGAGGCTCGAAATAAGGGTGCAACTAGGAAGAGAACTTACACACTTACCAGAACCCATGTATTTATTTCTCTGATTTTGCAATGTCATTCCAACCTTTTTTTTTTTTTTTTTTTTTTTTTTTTGGCTTGTCGCCTCAGTTGCTTGGAGACATTAACATCATCAGTGAAATCACCATTTTAAAAAGCTGTGTGAGGCTGCTGTCTGAATTTTCCCGCATTGCTATTTTAAAAGATGTGTCTGTTGTGTCTATAAAAAGAAAACTTTGCATACATAGATATAAAATAGCATTGAGTTTCTGGGTGTGTTAGGCCTTTACTGCCTTTTCAAAAATCTCTAGGATGCTTAGGGAACTCCACATAGTTTATTCAGCTAGTTTAAGTGTGAGGCTAGAACGTGGTTAGTTATAATATAAACCTTTGTGTGTTGACTGTGTCAACTTTACCTTAGGTGTCTCTTTAAATTCAGTTCAGTTGTTTGTAAAATGATGCTGACAAGAAACAGCACACATAAAAGTCCAAGTCAGCTTCTTGGTTTTCAGAAAGAAAACAGGTTTCTAAAATGATAGTGATTTTGCCTCAGTTGGTTTAAAATGAATGAGCAATGTACCTGATTACATAGTATGTCCTACTAGAATTTAATAGAAACTCTTCATGTGTCTGTCCCCATAATGAAAAAATATGTTTGTATCATTAGCAAACTAGTTTAAGAGCATGATACTGTAATGTAAAAAGAAGAGGACTTGACATTTAGTAAGCATGCAGGAATTATTTCATGGAGGAACACGTTTCTCATTCCTACTACCTCAGTAAGCAGGGTTGTTGGCAGCTTCTTAGCTAGGCACAGAAGAGAAATGGTGAAGACAAGGAAGTGCTGACTGGGGGCTTACTAGCAGTGTGCTGTGCATTGCCTTCACTCTTGAATTATCACATTAAAGCTTCACAGGAAAACACAATGCAAACCTTTCCCATGCATTATCTTGTAGTGGGTAAAAATGATTCAGACTACTGCAGAGCAGAGTTCTTCTTTTTCTTCCTTTCTTTCTTTCTTTCTTTCTTTCTTTCTTTCTTTCTTTCTTTCTTTTTAAGTCTTTACGTTCCTTTATTGGAGCAAGATTCCTGATGTATACAGTGATATATTTGCTAAACAGGGTCCTGTGCAGAAATTATACACAATCCATCTACACAGATTTTGGTTACACTTTGCCTATTGATGGAGTAGTTCCATTTATAAAGTTTTATACATCAAAAAACTTTGAATTTGACCAGGCTGTCCATTAATCATCTCTGAAAAAGTGGCTCTATTTTTAGCTCTGTTTTACATTAAAAAGCTTATGCATCAGGTAGCGTCCCAAAACATTATTCTCTGCATAATGGCATTGAGCAGACAAGAGCTCTTTATCCACCCAGTTCACAGAATCCCATCTGAGAGCTGCTACATACCTGGGACAGAACACTCCCAACCACCCCATGGACTGCATATTTTGACAGCCCACTTTCTTGACTAGTTCACACTGCTAATGTAGACATGCCAGCAGCTGTCCCTTGTACAAATGGCATTAGAGTAACAGGTCTGTGACATGGTAGACACAGGTACTCATAATATCCAGGTAACTAAAGGCCCATCTAAAAAATGCCAAATTGAGACAAAAATCAAGGGTCAAAGTCCACAGCAGCAAACTATACCTAATCACCCAGTTACAGACCTTAAGACATGGTTCAAATCCCTTTAACTCAGTCGAGCAGAGTTTTTCTTACAAGTAAGATTTTGTTTTTAATAAGCAAAATTTATAGTGACTAATTACAGGCAAAGATGGAAATGAAAAAGCTTCAGATTCAATACATTTTTTCATTGAGTCTTCTTCCTAACTTAGCTTTCCCTTTTGTGGACTTTTGTTTTTATTCTTTTTTTTTTCTCCCCCCCCCCCCCTTCTTGGGCTTTTACTTGCCCTTGTAATTTTGGCAGTGACATAATGGTACCCTTGTACTTTTATGCTCTCCTAGGAACGGTGGGAACCCATTTTTCTTTTTCTTAGTAAACATAGCTCCTGCTTTGGGGATCTACTGGGGAAAATTTGAAAGCTAAGTGAGTATATTGCTAGCTAGTTTTTACTGGAGTTCAGATTTGGGTCTTTAAGCCTTTTTGTATGTTGTAATCAGTTCTGTTCACATGCCTTCTTTATTTAGACAAGATGGTTAATACTGTAGAGGAGGAGTAGTCAAGTGTAAATGTATGACAGACTCATAATTAAATTATTTTTATCATATACTATTTCTTTTCCTTGTGATAAATTTTGAGTAAAGAGAAAATAATCCTTATAGTGAGTATTCAGTTCTGGTGAGAAAACTGGGAAATAACTATTGTGATTTTAAGTAAACATCATCTTTTCTTGGTAAAGCTTTTATGCGCATGAGTTTATATATGTGTGTTAAAACTGTAAATGGTAGTTACATATCTTAGTTGAAAAAAAAAACCTACATATTTACATGGTTGTATTTTTGCAAATAGCCTTAAACCCTGCAGCAAAGCTCCCTGAGATGAGATTTTGTGTTGATTGAACTCTGCCTCCTTGCCTAGGATGCTATTGGCAGAAGCTGGATGGATGGATGGATGGATGGATGAAAACTGACTTTATGATCAAGTTATTATAGGTTATGGTTTTATATGCCTTGGAACTATTAGAATAAGATACTGTGTGTCTGGATCAAAGACTTATGTTATGGTAAAGTTTTGTTTGTTGTTTTGAAAAAGTGTCTATTGTAGCACAAGCTGGCCATGGATGCTTGATTCTCCTACTTTAACCTCTTGAAAAATTGGGATTATGGGTATTTTCCACCATGACTAGCTCTTATTTGAGGTTTTTAAAAATATTTTTAAAAAATAATAATTGGTATACACCAATCAGAGGTCTTAATTTAGGAAGAAATCTTTATTCTAGATAGAGTTCTAAATGATAAAACTGACATATCTGTGTGGGTTTGCATGAATGGCTTATGGTTTTTGGATGGGGAGGGCATTCTAATAAGTAGTCATCTATAATAAGTAAAAATTTTAATCAGATTTAAGTTTGATTATGTAATATCTGCAGTTTCTTGACTTTGATATAAATTAACCTCTTTTCCTAGTTGATGCTAACATTCTTTTCCCAAATACAGCAGCTTTTAATAAACTGAGTAGCACCATTCAGGGAGCACTCTGCACACACTGGAAGATGTGAGTTTATAACAACACTCCTTACAGTGTCTCTAAAGTTTGTTTTCTGCATACCTAGCCATTTAATTTTTATGTAATAAAGTCTTAATTAACTGTTAGGTATTGGAAAAATAATTCTTAAGTCAATTGAAGGATACACAGAGAAATATTTTATATATCAGAAAAATTATGTAGACACAAATGTTTTCAGTGTGTGGTCTACTTCATAAAAAACATTTTATGTAAAACTATTAAAAGCTAGGAATTGACTCAAATGCAAATATTCCTCAGATTGGCTTGAGAACAGCTTTTCTGTGACTTATAGCCAGAAATAGTAGACATGATTGGTTCTCAACATTGCTTGCTGTTTATTTCATGCTTGGCTTAAAAGTGGAATAAAACTAAAGTCCAGGATTAAAATCATCCCTCAAAATTCAGTTGATTTCTACTTTTCTGTTGGTTCCATTTGTGTTACATTTTACCATGTAATTTTATGTACAAGCCAACATTGTTTTTGTTGCTGTATGTAGTCAGTGCTGTGACTTGTTTGTGCTCATCTCTGTTCTGTAGGCAACTTGCCACTCCCTACTGAATAAAGCTACAGTAAAAGAAAAAAAGGAAAACAAAAAATCAGTAAGTTTGGAGAACTTTTTATTAGCTGTTTCTTTCGAAGCAAACCCCAAATCTTTGCTATTTGTTAAGAACATCTTCACTTCAGCTATTTGACCTTCACTGTAAAATCATTCTACTAATTCTGGCACAAAATAGCTCTCATTTCAATTAACCCTGGAATTAAGTTACACTGAAACATTCTCTGTGTTCCTTTGGTTTGATTTATCCCAAAGGTATCTTGTGTGCATTTATTACATTGACTATCCTTGATCTAATTTTATTGTTATTTTTAAAATTGTAAATGAATGCAAAAGAAACTTAATTTCAAGGCTTTAGGGGATGCTGACTGTCTTCATTCTTGCTTCTTGTTTGCAGGTCATGTGAGTGGTTTCTTTTTCTAGAAACAAAAGCATTTCTTAATAAATACATCATGGGTGGGGATGTGTCTTTTTTTCACTTCTGGAGCTAAACATCAAACTCAGGATTTGCACATGCTAGAGCTACCAAAAACAAGTATCACTTTCTAAATCTAATCTAAAAGTTACTAAATTTAAATTTTTATCCCTTATATTATTATCTTGATGGTTTCAGCCATCCATGATTTAGACATTTGTGCTTAGATTATAGAAATTTTAGTTCTGAAGTTACTTTTACTTCAGAGAAAAATACACGTTGTTACTTCAGTAAAAAGAAAACTCAGTGAGGTCATGTTTATACAGAAGCACCTCATTGTGCAAACATGACTTGAATATATTGCCTGCTTCTGACCTTGCTTTCCTATAAAAGGAAGAAAGTTATGATCACCATAATTATTTTCTTCCTATGAATGTCATTTGTTCACAGTATAACTTTCACTCATTTTATCATCTGTGGGTGTGGCTTACCCAGATCCAGTTTACACCTGTTTTCATTCACTTAATCCAAATGATTGTAGAGAACCATGTGAAGAAAACTTTAACAAATTGGAGGTGATTTTATTTAAAAAAAAGAATAATTTAAAGTTGTGTTTGTCTGGTTTCATCTTTCATTTCTTACTTTAGCTTTACATATATAAAGCTTTACATTTATAGTTGAATTTAAAATTCAGAACTAAATTAAACTTTAGAGACTCATTTTTTATTATGTCTATTCAGAATTTTCTTTTTGAGTATTAAATAAAACTGGTCATCTATGAACAAATGGATTGGATTGGATGGCTCTCCTGCTTAAAATATTTTCCTCTAATACTTCGGCCTTCTCAGCATTGTGGGTTTAACAGTATACATCACCACTGTGGAAATTAATCTGCTGTTTCTAACATTCTTGTTTAATGTTATACTAATGTCATTGTGTAGCATAACGTAATTAAAGTCAGGCTTTCTGTGTTTATAGAGCATGTTTTATAGTTTTCTAACATTTATTATAGTTTTATATAAAGTTATTCCTTGATATTTTTCTAGTAGTTATTTTCATATACATACATACATACATACATACATATATATATGTATGTACACACACACACACACACATAATTTTTCTGGTAACACTAAATTTTCGGAATGTATTTCTCAGCACAGGTTATAGTCTTCAAGGAAATTAGGGGGTTGAATTGGCAGTACTTAAGAACAGATTCTATAGTGTGAGTCATGCTAGACACTGTACAATTTAGAATGCCAGTTTTTAAGTTGTTTAATAGAATCTATTTTTTTCTTTTAAGAGTAAGCTGACTTTCTTTGTAATAAATGAAATACAGAAATAAAACTTAAAAACAAACAAAAAATCCTAATAAAATAAATAAATAAATGAATGAAATACAGAGAGAAGGTTTTAGTTTCTGGTGTTTAGCTATGTTTACGTATTACAGTTGATTCAGTTTGTTATACTCAATATACTATATACTTAGATTACTAGAGAAGTCGCCTGTCTAATGCAGGATTTCATCTGTATAGCTGGTGATCATTTGCTGATATGTAATTGGTTATCTGATTTTGTAGTTCAACATTACCAAGGGAAATAAAGGGGGCATTAGCTGATAATTGGTTTCAGTATACAGACTCACCCAACATTGACCTTACATGTAGACTATCATTTGGATCCAAATTAGAGTGGTGGTACATGCCTTTAAACCCAGCACTCTGGAAGCAGAGGTAGGTGAATCTGTGAGTTTGAGGCCAGCCTTGTGTACAGAAGGAATTCCAGGACCAGCAGGGCTATTCAGGGAAACCCTGTGTTGAAAATAAATCAAAACAAAGCTTGAGTATGTAATGTTGGTTAAAATTACATTGATGTTAAGTAGTGGTGAAAGATTTATAAATTTTCATGAATCTTTTTATATTACTAAATTTGTCAGGTTTTCGTTCAAACAATATCAATACCACTATCAAAGCGTTACATATTTTACAATATATGAAACTTCCTGAAACATGAAGTTTTGATATCAATTATTTTTAAAGATGTAGAAAATGGTTAAAAGTTGAAATAGTTTTTCAATAATTTTATAATACTCTTTGGAAATAATTTAGCTTCTCTTAAGTTCAGAAGCTGAGTATTTTCAAACCAGAAACCAATGTAATATAGGATTTTTTTTCTTAGGGAAAACCAGCAGGTAGCCACCTGTTTTGCTGTCAGTATTTTTGCTTCAGCCTTCTTCATGCTGGGATTATATGTATGTACCACCACACCCAACCTCTTAAATAACCACTTTCAAACACATTTTAAAGGCTGTCTATGTGCACCCATTATTTGATATTTATGAGACACTTTCATGGATGTTTAATAAATGAACTATCTCTTTAAAGCAAACTGTGATGTTGGGGCCTTTTAAAACTACATCAGGGTTTTAATGTGTTAAACTGGAGATTAAAAACAACCTGCTAAAAGTTAAATGTAAGTATTGGTGGACTGGGAACATGACTCCCCAAAAGGCTGTTTGTCCTTCTTCATGGTTTGCTCCCAGAATACATTGTGGTCTTGTTAGTTTATTGATACTTTTGTATCTTTTAACTAAAATTGGGAAATTTTACAAAAATTCAGTGTCAGTGTTTGTTTTTCCACATTCTGAAATTATGTGATAAATTTTGTCTTTCTTTTTTATCAGATTGGAGGTTCTAGTTCCCAAAGGTTAAGTTCTATCCTAGAAGAGTAAGGACATTTGGATGGTCTCCCTATTTCTGTATCTAGAACTATATTTCAACTACAAAAGACATCTATATTTAGCCAACTTCCCAGTTTCCCCGATTTCCTAAGGTAGTTCTCCTTGTGTGCTATAAGTACCCAAGAGAACTGTAACCCCGAGCTCCTTCAGCATCACAGTGTAAGTAAAAAGGGAAATATAGCTCACATGCAGCTCTGCTGCCAGGCCTGTGACCACCCCCAAAAAAATCATTTGCTTAAATCCTTCCAATTTTTTTTCGTCAGAAATGATAGGAAATTATTTTGAGATTAAGGGCTATGGGTAATGACGCATTTAAGGTGTCACCTGGTGCTGGAGAGATGAGTTAGTGGTTAAGAGCACTGGATGCTCTCTCTTCCAGAGGACCAGGTTCAATTCCCAGCTCCTACGTGGTAAGTAGCTTACAACATCTGTAATGTCAGTTCCAGGAGATCAGATGCCCTCTTCTGGCCTCTATAGGCATCAGACATGTATGTGGTGTACAGACCGTACATGCAGGCAAAATGTAAAACAATGAAGTAATAATTTAAATAAATGCAGATCCTGTGAAACACAAAAAGGGCCAGATGAAGTGAAGTAGCCAGAGTTCATTTGGAATTGAGTCTTAGAATTAATGACGAGTACTCACACTTGGTAAAAAGTGTTATGTAATTCTACGTATAAACTTCATTTTCTCGTTTCCCCACCCTAAAAGCCTTTGAGATGCAGGATTATCCATATGTTTCCAGAATGGTGAGTGCTAGACCTCCATCATCACAGCCATAACAAGCTAGAATAGCTTTCAAGATTAAAGTATCCTATGTCTTCTTTTAAAAAAGAAATTTGGCTGGGTGGTGACTGCACACACCTTTAATCCTGGCATTCCAGAGGCAGAGGCAGAAGCAGAGACCTCTATGAGTTTGAGGCCACCCAGGTCTACAGAGTGAGTTCCAGGACAGCTAGGGCTATATAGAGAAATCCTGTCTTGAAAAGAAATAAAAGCAACAACAACAAAAAACCCACACAACTAAATAGATAATAAAGAAGTTTTTATGTAATATATACAAAAAATTAAATTCTAGAACAATTCCACATCCATGTGTTAGCTTAAAATGGGAGGTATCAGGAAGAGGATGAGGGTGGGGCAATTCTGTAACAGCGTTCCCAGTCTGGTGTGCCTGCTCCTTTATATTCTGTGCAGAACACTTTCTATGGAGGAAAGGCCCAATTACACTGGTTTTGTATGACTTTTCAGTACAGGCAGCTATTTTCTGAGCCCTGAAACTTCTTTTTTGCTTATAAAGCTGAAAAATAAATTTGGGGTAGACATGGGGATTTTGTCTTCTGGTGGGATCCTTTTTTCTTTTAGGCCTCCAAGAGTTCCTGTTTTTCCCAATGGTTTAAATGATAGATAGGTCCTTATATTAGGAAACATGCTCATGAAGAACATTACTGGCAGGAACATGGCCTGTAAGTAAATTTTTTCACTAAGAAAAGATGTATATGGTAAGTCGCACTGAAATACATATTTTAACAGGTATACAAAGTGTAACTTCCTGTTAGAGAGAGGGTGTGTAGGAGGTATGCTCCTAGAAATATAGCTTTCAGGGCCTGTGAAAAGTCAACCTCACTTTCATGTCTGTTGATCTTTGTGTGAAATTGAATCTACTTTTGCTGCCCATAATGATTATAAAGTAAAATCTTTTTTCAGGTTTCTTCTATGAGGAGGTTTTTTTTCTTCTCTTTGAGATATTTATTTGTGCCTTAAAATGTCACCTATGATTACCGTTAAGGATAAGCCTTACTTTCTGGTGTTTGGGGAGAAAAAAGTTTAAAACAGATCATTCATAAGATTGACAATTCATGTTTTGTGCATAGTTTGACCTTTAAGCTTTTGTTTCCACTTCTTTATTTCAATGCAAACTGTCTACTCAAGTCTCAACTCCTTGTTCTCAGGTGGTTAGCCAGCGTTTCCCTCAGAACAGCATCGGTGCAGTAGGAAGTGCCATGTTCCTCAGATTTATCAATCCTGCCATTGTCTCGCCATATGAAGCAGGGATTTTAGATAAAAAGCCGCCACCTAGAATCGAAAGAGGCTTGAAGTTAATGTCGAAGGTGAATTATTTTGATACTCATGCAATGTTTAATTACCTTTCCAACTAAATTTTTAGTTTTTCATATTTAAAATACTTTGTCTTCAGTTTGCCTTTGAAATTCCCATAGTTTTCATTTTATCTACCTTTTGTTTTTATTTGTTTATATTGCAGAGGAATTCTTAATAAATGTACCTGATGGGCCCTGTGATGGGAAAATATATTAGCAATTAAATGAGGTTTTTCTGTGTACATACTCTGGAAAATTTCAGTTGGAAACAGAAATAAGAGATTGTAGTGTTTCTTTATTATTATTGTTGTTAACATTTGAGACTGGGAACATGGGTCATTGTGTAAAAGTGCTTGTCATGCAAGCATGAGCTCCCTAGCATCTAGGTAAATGTCAGGTGGGCAGGGGGCAGGGGTGGCAGCAGCATGACATTCAGCCAATATTACCAGCACACAAGGCAGACAGGATCCCTGGAGCAACCAGCTAGCTAAACTAACTGAATCCAACTGCTCCAGGTTCAGTAGAGAGAAGCTGTCTCAATGTAGAGGATGGAGAATGATGGAGGGAGTCTCCACATGCATGCACACATCTACCAACTCACACACTTGCAAACATGCATGCGAGTATGCACATACTACACACATACATATATGCAATAGAGAGATTTTTAAAAATATATATATTTTACATATGTAGCATGTATATGCAATATTTCTATTTGAAAAGAATCAATGATGTCTAGGTTAATTTTTATAATAAAGGAATAATTCATTTGAAATACCAGTAGAAATATCAATGGAACATTTATATTTTAAAGACTATTAATGTATAGATTTCATATAGCAAATAATCTGATTACTCATAATCCTGTTTGATTGTTTAGATACTTCAGAGCATTGCCAATCATGTCCTGTTCACAAAAGAAGAACATATGAGGCCTTTTAATGATTTTGTGAAAAGCAACTTTGACTTAGCACGAAGGTATGCAGCCTTGATTTGTCACTGGTTGCCATGCTCCCATCTCACTCCTGTCTGTGTATCTGGGCTACATTAAGCTTCTATGTATGATTTTAATTTTTCCCATATCCTTTCTAGATTAAGAGCACATTTTGTCTTACTCTATTATGAGACATTATGAAAAATCTATGTGCTCTAATTTCACAGTAGCTTCCTTCTTTGGAAACTGGAGGGACTGTTGGCATTTCCCAACTTTGGCATTGCTACAGAATGGGTTCAGATTTCTTTTTATTAAAAACAAACTAGGGGCTGCAGAGATGACTTAGTGGTCAAGTACACTTACAGGCAGCTCTTCCAGAGGTCCTGAGTTCAATTCCCAGCAGCCACATGGTGGCTCACAGTCATCTATAGTGGTATCTGCTGCCCTCTTCTGGCATGCCCTCATGGCAAGATTAAAATCTAAAAATAAAAAAACTAAAACCAAATGATACAGATACTATATTAGAATGTTTTGGTATTCATAATATTTTTATTGCTTCAGTTTAGAAGTTTATCTGAATTTAAATCAATGCCTCTTTGAACCAAACAAAGCAAAAACAGAAGATTTGTGTATGAAAAAGTAACTGTTGAGGCTTTAAAATTATAGAATATTTTTCTACTGGATTTCCATAACTAATTCATCACTTCTGAGTCATTGATTTATTTGTAACCCTGGGGTTATGCTGTATTTGCCAGAGTTGCTTTTAAAGAAAGATTGTCTGGTGAAAGGTGATTCACGTATGTGCCTTCTGAAAATGTTGATGTTCAAAAGTCCCTTTCCACCGGGAGAAGCCTAGCTGATGTTGCTGATGTGTGCACTGGCTTCCTGTAGCTGCTCTGTCACCATTACAGCTCTTTCTGACCTTCTAAGAAATTGGAGCTGAGCTATAAATTGTTGGGGGCAAAGTGAGTGCTATTATCAGATAGAAAATAATTTGGTGACTGCTCATGGAGAGTTAAGAGAACCAAAGTTCCCATCCTGTCTCTGGCAGGAAGGCAGTGTTTTTATTCATCTAAACTTGTTGTTCTCCAACTTCTGGAGCCTGCTTTGATGCTGAAGTAGAAGCTGAGTATTAGAAATGGAAAGCCAACTTTCTCCTTATGCTTCTTGTTTGGTTTAGGGACAGTTACTGTGGGCATAAGCCCGCCCCATTTGCAGTCACAGTTACTATATTACTATAGTCTTTATAAAATTAATGCATATATAAGTGAGTATACCTGATATTAAAACTGTAATGGCTTTGCATTTTTTGCAGATTTTTCCTTGATATAGCATCAGATTGTCCCACAAGTGATGCTGTAAATCATAGTCTTTCCTTCATCAGTGATGGCAATGTGCTTGCTTTACATCGGCTGCTTTGGAACAATCAGGAGAAAATTGGCCAGTATCTTTCCAGCAACAGGTATGTGTTCTCAGTCTTGGGGAAAATTAAATACTTCATTTAAATTGCATTAACAAAATTATTGATCCTGAATAAAACCTTCTACTTTGCAGCTTTTTGTCTTAAGAATTGTGATTTGGAAATGAAATGCAGATTTGCGTGCATATGGCCAAACCAACTCATGTTAAATGGTCAACAACACTGTTGTTGCTGTAGGGCTTGTGATACTATTATGTGTATGTAAATAATATTTCGTATAGAAAGCACCAAATCAGCCAGCATGGTACCATACTTTTTAATCCCATGTAGATAAATTACATGCTGGTGAGAGCTATTTCCTTTTTAATTATATAGGATTATAAAGGACTTCAATTTCTGTGTCTAATCTGCCAATAAAAAATGGTTTGCTCACTTGTGAGAAAGACAGGAGACCATGATGCTATGACTAAACAATTAGGAGATGGCAGTTTAAGAGAAAACACTTTTTAATTCTTTATGAATTATTAATGGATTAAAGTAGGCATGGATATGACTGACATGTGCCAGTAAAACAGGAAAAGGAAGTGCTTCTTCCTTGTGACAAAATAACCTGGAATTTTAAAAAATGAACCTTCTTTTCTCTGTTTTGATTTGAATACATATTTGCATTTTGATGCTAAGAGCTTTTTAAATGTGCTATTTAGGAAATGATATCTGTTTCAAACATGAAAATATAGACAGTGCTTTGACAGTTCCATGTCTGTCTACTAGCTTGAACACCCTGTAATTTTGATACAACCACAGGTCTTAATAGCATTTTATTTGCTGAGAGGAAGGAACGGTAGGAGAGATAGAGAACACTGTAAGTATTCAAATATATGAGCCATGTCAAATGGCTCACAACTGCCTCTTAATTCTACCTCCAGAGGAGTTGATACCCACTTCTGGCCTCATACACATATATGCATAAGTAAAAAAATGAAATCAAAAATTTAAAAACATATAGCTTTGAGCTGTGTATGATAGTATACACAGGTATGACCTTAGAACTTGGGAGGCCAAGGCAGAGAGTAATGAGTTTGAGGACAGTCTGAACTACTTATAGTAAAATCATGACTCAGAGGAAGGAAGGAAGGAAGGAAGGAAGGAAGGAAGGAAGGAAGGAAGGAAGGAAGGAAAATAGTACACTGAAATATTCAATTATCTGTGGTTATATATACCCATGTCCTAAATATTGTTTTCTCAAGAGTCATTTTACCCTAAGAAAAAGTAGATGAGAATGTTACAAGTATCAATTCTACAAAGTAATTGAACTGACTAATCATTTTTTTTTCTTTTTTTGGTTTTTCAAGGCAGTGTTTCTCTGTATTGCTTTGGAACCTGTCCTGAAACTAGCTCTGTAGACCAGGCTGGTCTCAAACTCACATATTTCCTCCTGCCTCTGCCTCCTGAGTGCCAGGATTAAAGGTGTGTACAATCAACGCCCTGACTGGGAAATGGTTGCATTTTTAAGATACTGAGCTCTTTCAATACTGCTTACAAATCAGCAAGGAATAAGTAGTTAAAGGAAAAGCAACCAGTGATGGTCTAAGGAATGTCAGACTGCCCAGTTAATGTGAAGTACCATTTCCTGAGCATTATCTGTTGTTGCTAGGGATCATAAAGCTGTTGGAAGACGACCTTTTGATAAGATGGCCACACTTCTTGCATACCTGGGTCCTCCGGAGCACAAGCCTGTGGCAGATACACACTGGTCCAGCCTTAACCTTACCAGTTCCAAGTTTGAGGAATTTATGACCAGGTAAAACACAATTTTAAAAGGGGGTTCAGAAACAAAGTTTACCACCATACCACTTATTAAATACACTTGTATTGCATTAATGTGACCATGTTTGTTTGTTTTTATATATTGGTTTTCTTATAAACAATGGTGTGGTTTGTTTGTGTGTTTGATTGCATGTATGCTAGTGTGCCCTTGCCCACAGCTAGTATATGAAGTCAGAGAATAGCCTATAGGAGTCATTTCTCTCCTTCCATGTGTCACAGGGATCAAGCTCAGGTTATCAGGTTTAGTGACAAAATACTTTTAGCTGCTGAGCCATCTTACTGGCTCTCTTTGACATGTTTTTCATTTAATACTTTCAAGAACATATAAGGTAAAATTATTTTCATATTATAATAGGAAAATACATTCAACAGACATAACTTATTTGACCTGGATTCACACCTGATTCATGGTTCTTTTGAATTTAAGTTCTAAAATCTTTCTATCATACTTACTTTGAATCCTTCAAAAAGTTAATTGTTTTAACCTCCTTTAGAGTAAGGCCCAGAAAATACAGTTTATTCAATATTGCCACAACAAATGTTTCTGTGGACATTTGTTTTTGTATCTCATGTAAAGGAATCTAATCCATGAACTCAAAGATTCTCACTGTTAGACACACACTTGATGTTTGCTAAATATGTTTCTTTTTTATATTTTCCAAATGCTGTATTGAGGCTGTGAGTTGGTTGTTTTATTCATAGTATGTGCTGAAGACAGAAAGAAAACATTCTCATCTGACAGAAGTTAATTTACAAGAATTAAGTTAATATAGTAATAGAGGAGGCAAGGAAAAGGAAAGATGGAATGAGAGAATCCAGTCCAATGTATGTCTAGTAAATATTACAGAAGCCACCCTTAGTGAGAATAGGAAGAGGTAACATATTGGTAGAGATAATGGATATGAAATTTTCACTCATATCCTAGGGTTTATAAATCACTTAAAACTTATAAAAGAAGCAACAGAGTTTCAGCAGAGTATAAAACTTAAGCCATACTCTTTCAGAAATTTATTTTAGTACACATGGGAATTTAATGTGAAAAAAGGTATTCATAACCAGGGAGACTAGGACAGACCTAAAATAAAAGCTGAGTAATCATCAGGAAAAAGATGTTCATGCTGCTTGTGAAAATACATTTACTACAAGTCAAAGAAGGAAACACAGGAAAAAGCAAGTCCTTTTCATCCCTGTAAAATCCATAAATGAGAAGATTGATGAACTGAACTTAAAAAGGGGGGGGAACCCTCAAAAACCTTTTATTAGGAAAAAAAAAATACCATGAATAAAAGGTAATCTTGGGGTTCTCCCTATCCTGCAGTATTGTTAGGTACCTGCAAGAAAGTTCTCATGACTCAGCACAACACCTTGATATTTTACCCTTCAGAAAACCTGTTGCTTTGTCAGTATTTTATTTTAGCTGATTAGCAATCTGTGTAAAGCCTCTGAGTGACTCTGCTCTTTCTTTTAGGCATCAGGTACATGAGAAGGAAGAGTTCAAGGCTTTGAAAACTTTAAGCATCTTCTACCAAGCTGGTACTTCCAAAGCTGGGAACCCTATTTTTTATTATGTTGCACGGAGGTAAGAGACAACATTTTAGTCTCTTTTAATATGTTTTTTTTTTTTTTTTTTTTTTTTTTAATGATGGAAAATGAAGGAAAGTGGTTAGGTTTTTGGTTTTGGTTTTTTTTTTTTTTTTTTTTTTTTTTCCTATTTGAATTATTAGCCCTTAAAGATATGCTTTCCTGGATAGTCAGCCATCTATTTTAAAATGCTGATCACTATTAGGTATTAGTTTCAGATTACTTGTTTCACATTGTTGTCTGTCTGGTACATCAAATGTTAAAATATCACCACAGGGAGTTATTACCAAAGTGAAAGCTTAGAAAGAACCTTCGGGTCCCCCCCACAAGGTATGTTTTAATTTTATAGTATGTGTAACTCGATAATTGGAACCTCTCCCTTTTAAGAAGAAAAAAATTGAAGAGCCTGTTTTCTGAGAATTCTTAGCAATGTATTGCTTGAGATTGCATCAGGATGATTTAAGAATTAATTCCAAGAGTGTGGGAAATGGATGTAAAGATGGACAGGGGTGTCTTGGAAAATAGACTATGATGTTGTTAGCCATGCTGTGAACTCCTTCTCCTTGGCAGTGGGCTTGCATTGCCTTCCCTGCTGTGTGAAAACTAATATGTGATGGATGGTACTTGGTTATACTCTTCCGCCCATTGGAATGGCATAAAGTCAAGGTGGCCTAAGTTTGAAGATGGTTAATGCGGCATAGTAGCTAGTGATGTGGGAATGTCAAGGGCGCCCAGCAGCTCCAGGACTTAGACTTTCTGGATTTCCCAAACTTAACAAAAATGGAGAGATTATGTTAATTTACTTAGTGGTTATGGTAGCAAAACCTGACAGTGGCTGAGAAATCATACTAAATGGAAAAGAAAGAAGGATAGAAGTTGTGGAACTCGTTTAACTATGTGTTTAGCTGTCCAGAGCACTGGTGGGAACCAGGGGATAGAAGAAAGTTACAGAAAATGGAATTTATCTTTGCCAGTCGTTTTTAACAACTGTAAGGACCACCTTACTCTGCCCAAGTGTAATGGTACATTTCTAGTTATAGCACTCAGAAGGCTGAGGCAGGAGCATTGGTTGAGTTAGAAAGCCACCCTGGGCTACAGGGTGAGACCCTATCTCAAAAAAGACCCCCACACCCCAAAAGAAAGAAAATGGGAGGGGGAAAAAAACAAACCCTTATAGTTCCATGAAACTTTGTTCTTGTTTCAGTTGCTCTTTCTAAAATAATTTTGTTTTACATTTAAGATAAGCCATGTTTGTATTTCAACTTTAACCTTTAGAACTGCCAGGACTGGTGAAGGGGGAGGTAGATGTATGTATGTCTCAATTCCCAGCCCCCTCTGAGTTCTTAGTAGTTTACAGTACAATCCGGTGTGAAAGCTGGAATTTCTTCTTCTCCTTCAGGATAAGAAACAGTAAGACTAAGGAAAGCAAACAGCCCTGGCTTTTAGTGGATGGTCAGTGGGGGTACACAGCTGTACATAATGCCTAGATAGCATGGGTTTGAAGTTGCCAGGGGTTCCTGTTCTGCTACTTTTTAGCTGTTCCCAGGGTTCCTGTTCTGCTACTTTTTTAGCTGTTCTGGCCCTTCATCTTTGAGAAGGAAGAAGTGCACTTGTTAACTACTATGTCTCTTGCATGGTTTTGTAACAAAGTTATGTGTAAGTTGAAAGTTGTCTTTTTCTTTTTTGATATGCCCTTGACAAACCAACTTTTCAGTCCTTTGTAGTTTTAGTGTTTTGCTTTGAAATAGAGCCTCTCTAAGTAGCCTGGCTGGCCTATAATTATAACTTATGATCATCCTTCCTCAGCCTCCCTGGGTGCTGCCCCCCCCCCCCGGCATCACAGGTGTGCCTGGTGTCTTCGGAGGCTAGTGAGGGCATCAAATCCCCAGGTGCATAATTTAAAGACAGCTGTGAACTGCCATGTGGGGTCTTGGATTCAAATTTAGATTTTTTTTGGACAAACAGCTAGTGCTTTTAACTGCAGAACCATCTCTCCAGCCCCTGAGTGCTGGTGTCACCATGTGTCACCATGCTTGGTGCCTTTTCCTTTCTAAGACATAGTAGAAAGATCAGAGAGACACCTTGTTTCTCATTGTCTTGGTAGTAAGTGAAAGCCTTGTGTGTACAGTCTTCTCGTCAAGAGCTCTGGAGTCTTGACTCCATCGTGGGCATTTCTGTATTTCAATGGCATAGACAACTATACATTAGGAAACATTTTTGAATTGTGGGTTCCAATCTCTACAGACATTTCAGGTTTGAATATCAAATTGTCCTTATCTTCATACCATGTTTTCTTTAATTGTCCCTTCTATTCCCTATCAGTTTAAGTATTTCCCTTTCTTACTGTCCTCTTTGTTAAGTCACCAGGTCTTGATTTTTTTTTTTTTTTAACCTGTGAGATCTGATATATCAATTGAAATATTTTAGTTTAGGCTTTGGTTCTTACCAAATCTCTCTTATTTTTTTCAAGACAATGTATAACATGAAAAATAAAAGACCAAAGACAGATCTTCAGCTTTAAGCTAAAGAACAAAGCAGCTGGCCACTAGCTCTTATCTCTGCCTCAGACTGAAAGGGTTAATCCTGTCTCCATGAGCTCTTCTCTAAGCCTCAGACTTCTGCCTCTCTTCGGTGTGGCTGGAAACTAAATCTCTGGATGCAGCCCGAGACACTGGGCTCCTGTCTTTTATATACTTCTCTAGGGCTGGGAATAAAGGCATGAGCTTTAATTCTCTTTTAGACTGACTCCATGTTGTGTACATCTGGGTAGCCTTGGACTTAGAGAGATCTATCTGCCTGTCTCCTGATTCCTGGGATTAAAGGTGTGTGCCACCACTGCCCAGCTTGTTTGGCTAGTGTGGCTGCTGAGATTAAAGGTGTGGATCATCATTGTCTGACCTCTATAGCTTGTGCCTGGCTTTGGATCCTGAACCCTGCAGCAAGCTTTATTAAATCATAAATAATATATCACCATAAATATGGGCCCAAATAAAAGCATGAATCTGTAGAGCCATCCCAGATGGAAACAGAAGTAAACCATAGTTGCTGCAAAAACCAATATACACTCTTTGTTTCTTGGTTTGTTTCTTTGGTTTTCTGATTTCCTTATCATTTCAGCTTTAGCTTAGCCAGTGACCCCTTAATTACCTCAGTATTGCATACTTGAAATTCCTGAGAGGAAATATGTCAGTCAGTTGAAAAGTATCTTTGTTAGGAAGATTTTCTGTGCTAGATGCTGACCAGTTAGTAGAGACCTGGCTGCTCCAAGCCAAGTGCATGTACTAGCCCAACAGTCATGTAATTCAAAATGTAGCTATTCAGTGTTCATCAGTGACTATCCTTAGATATGGGTTTTAATTATATTATTTTAAATTGGATCATAATCTAGTATTATCATCTGGTACTTTGGAAATGTCTTTTTAAAAATTATTTTTATTTTATGTGTACGTGTGAGTGTATGCATGCATGCATATACACCCTGTGAGAGCTCGGTGACCTTGAAGGCCAGAAAGGGGTTGCAGATAGTAATAGTTGGTGCTCTTTGAGCCTAACAAGTCCAGTAGAAAATGCTATTCCTAGCAATTTCAGCAAAAGTACTTAGCTTTGCTGGTTTGTCTTGATTCACATGTCAGTTTGCAGTACAGTCACTTTGGCAAGGAAGATGGACTCTTTGGCTCTTTAGGCCTGGTCATGAACTTATGGCTAGAACTCAGAGGTAAAGCCAGGAACCGGATGGCATGAACTGAAAGGCAAGGATGAGAGCAGGGTTTATTTCCCAAAGGAAAATTGGATTGCCGATAGATACCCAGATGAAGATGAAAAGGGGACAAGTGAGCGGGCATAAGTAATAGAAACTCTCTCTTCCATGTACCTTTATAAGACTCATGAAAGGCTGATTGTGGTGGTGTACCCTGCAGTTCCAGCACTGGGAAAGCTAAAACAGATGAACTTCAAGTTCATGACCAATTTGGGATATAGGTAGTTTGAGGCCAGTCTTGGTTAACTTTCCTTACAAATAAGCAGCCCCCCACACACAAAAAAATGACTCTGACATTTCTTTGCAAGGTACTAAGGTGTGGTGTGTGTGTGTATATATACAGAGACCTGTATATAACTATACATATTAAATTGTTGACATTTGAGCCGGGAGTGTAGCTCAGCAATAGAGTGTCTGTTCAGCATGCATGAGGTCCAGGGTTCAACTCCCAGACATACACTTTCAAACAAAGCACTACATTCACATTGCTCACATTACTTCTCTTAGGAGAGAGAACATGCCTGGAGAATGTAGAGGACCAATATTATATTTCTGTCATTTGCCTCTTTTTTTAATTTTGTTAAGTAATTGAAAATTTAAAAACTGTGGGGTACTATGGTTCATCACAACTTGTCACATTAACACAGATTATAATTTGCAGTTACTTAATGCTTTCTTTATATCAGACAAACTGCATATTACATAATTTTTTGTTTAATCCTCACAATAATCTTCTGGGGTTGTATTAACAATACTTACTATCAATGGAAACTCAAACCTAGCTGTCATAAAAATCTGAATAACTAAACATTGTTCATACCCTCCAAACTTCCACATCAGAATCTAGGGACAAGACTTAATTTGTATATTTAAGGTAGCATCCCAAATTATTCATCTGTAGTCAGTTTGTTTGGGTTCTGCTGGGTCATTTTACTCTTGGTAGGTAACTCAGCTAGTTAAAATCATCACCTAAAGTTCCTAACTCACTGATAATAAACCACAGTAATTTTTACTATTAGCATACTAAGTTTGTTGAGTTAAACCTATCCTTGTATATGAACATTAAAAATCCAACCAACATTCCTTTAATCTCAACACTTAGTCAGAAGGCAGAGGCAGGCAGATCTCTGTGAGTTTGAGGTCAACCTCCTCGTCTACATAGTGAGTTCCAGGACAGCCAGGGCTACAGAGAAACCCTGTCTAGGAGAGGCAACGAGATGGGAAAGGTCCTGAAGGAGAGG